CCCCAAAACCCCAAAACCCCAAAACCCCATTATTTTTGGTTAAGATTGAAGTATATTGTTATTAATGAAATCCTATTTGCTGATTCTGACAATAATCCTTTTTGGATTTGCCCTTGCCGAGACCAACATCACCACAGTTGAAGACTGTGCAGTTTGTGCTGGAAGTAAACAGAGAGTCTGTAGAGACTCTTATACAGGTGATAGATTTTACTGTGCTCAAGGTGAAAAAGGACCTAATTGTGGAGACAAAGCTCAGACTATTTCTACTGACGACCTTAACCCTGATCAGAGTGATGGCTCTAATTACTTGCTGCGCCCTAACCCTGCTGAGTGTCCTGATACTATCTACCTGAGTTCGAGCCCAAGTGGGATGAGAGAGATTCTCCTAAGAAATCTACCATACTGCAACACTCACATTACATATTATAAAGGAGACCAAAATGCTATGAAAATCCTCGCTACAATGACAAGTGAGGTTGGAGTCTCTGCCTTCAGAAGAATGAATGCTTCAAGATATGAGAGAATTGGAGAGCTCCAGCCAATGGAAATTTTAATAGAAGAAGATGAATCTATTATCCTTGCTGCTCAAAGAAAAATGTGATATTGGTGATGTAGCTATTAGTGCATTGGTAAAATATATGATAACTCCAAAATTTTTAAAAACTTTGGCAAAAATATTAAAAACTTTAACTAAATCTCAGCCACAATTCTAAAACTAAACTTTCAAGATCAAAACACTTAGTAAATTCATTATTGATGATGATTTGTCTGGATCTTATGGGTTAACAGTCTACATGAAGGAGTATGAAAAATGACAGTTCCAAGACGACTACTTCAATCTCAAATTGATGGGAGATATCTCTGCTCTCGCAGTTAAAGAGAAATATAGTTTGAATCCAAGATATTTAAATTATGTGATCATTCTTAAAATCGGAGTTTATACTCTTGTTAAATATAAGCATGGCTTTAGATCACTAAACCAGATAACAATAACCAAAACTAAGTCCTCTGCTACACTTGAATATTGAAATTTGTAAAAGAACTGATTCTACAATTTTTGTATACTTTCGTTTTTGGAGCTGCAGTCTTATCCTAAATGGTATCTTTAATTTGGAAAGATATTTCACAAGATTAAGAGCCCCCATTCCTTTTTTATAGAGATATAACTGAATGATATAATTTCTTTCAAAATTTTCCTCTAATATGTTTATATCTTACTTTTGTTTTACATCTTGTCTAGACTCTTATACATAATTATTTATAAGATTTTACTGAATTCTATTTTTAAATATCTTCAGGGGTTTTGGGGTTTTGGGGTTTTGGGG